ACGGTTTGTCTATTTTGAGGGGTATGCAATTGCAAGTCTTATTATGTATTAAGTTTACTTCTTGATTTTCACTTTAGAATGGGGACTTATCTTGTTAGTGTTTGAGACTTGAAAGTTTGAATTTCATGCCTAGTTTAAGTCTTGAATAATGTTGTATGCAAAATATTCTTCTACGAGGTAGTTGATATCTTCGTATATGGTGATTTATTCAAATAGGTGTTGCCATCTTAAATTAAATCTTACACTTTATTTTATAGGGGATTTTATGAAATAAACTTTTGATTTTATTATGGTGAAATGATGCTTTTTGAACCCTTGCTCACATGGGCCTATTTACGCTAGTAAATTGTAATAACAATTTGCTAAACTAGTTTCAAAGAATATTTTGTTAGTGAATTCTTTTTTCAAATCTCATGAAGAAACTCTTCAATAGTTTTTTTTTTAAATTTAGTTATTTAGTCTATTTTACAAAAATTATTTAAAGAAATACTTAACTTTCAATGTATTAGATTAGTTTTGTTAAATGACAATCTTCCACAGGGAGTTGCTACAAGTTTAGTCAGTTGTTTCCATGTCTGCTAGTTGAATTATATGAGGACTTTTAGTATAACATTTTTATTCTTGAGGTTGAATTATATGAGGACTTTTAGTATTAACATTTTTATAGCGGTGGTGCTGGGGCAATCTTGAGTGCACCTCAGCTATTTCATCGAGCACTTGATACCACCACCGAAGACTTTCAGTATTAATCTAGTTTATGTTTAATGAATGTTCGAGTTATGTCGTGCTCTAATCCACATAGGGAAGTCTTAGGCGGACTAGGACGATGACCCCGTTTATGGTCTTAGTCATGAAATTATACCACCTCGCATGTTATCTTTGAAACCTATATCACCCTACAATTATAATTAAATCCTCCCTATTGTTGAGATAAGTTGAGGGTATAACCTGACATTGCTCCAAAAGGTTGCTGGTTTACAGTATAAATTTATTATTTAATAGGGAAACTTCATTGTTACATCTAATTGAGCAGTCAAACGCACTGGAAAATGCTATAACATAAGCAGAAACTTGGGCAATAGGCAGTGTCTTGTGTGAACTATGAGCTACATGGTCAATTTGCCTATGTAAACTGTTTTCATCTTGTCCCTTGTCCCTACAATAATTTCGTAAGCCATTCTTATGTGATCCATGTCAAGCTTATTTAATAAGATCAATCAATTACTTTAAACCAGGGGAAGGGGAATGAAACAACACGTATAAAAATGTAAAAGTTCTTTGAATGGTGGACGCTGTGGTTTAGGCTGAGAATAATCACGCTTGACAAATTAATTTCTATTAAAATCAATGTTTGGAAAAAAGAAGAAGAAAAGAATGGCGCCTACGAGTGTGGCCTAGTGATAAATGAAGTGGGAGAACTACGCTGTCTCAGGTTCAAATCTCAGCAGAGGCAATGGCACTAGGTGATTTCTTTTTTTGAGTAAGGTAACACTAGGTGAATAAAAAGTGTGTTTTCTTCCGATCTATCCAAGCCTTGGTAGGTAGAGCTACCCATGTTGGTGGGAGGTGCAGGTGCCCAGTGGAATTAGTCGGGTGCGTGCAAGCGGTCCAAATACCACCGCCATAAAAAAATGTCTCTGATATCAAGAGGAGTTTCGTGGCCAATTAAGGTCCGCTTTTATTGATAATTATTGGATGGGATAGGTTTCATCGACACCAGGCAAGATGCCATTATTACATTGATTGGAAAATGTATGGCATGGTTTCGGTCCAACTAAAAATATCAGCTTTTGCAAGGGTATAACTGTATTTGTTATGACTCCGAGTTTCTTCTCTTTCGCGGATATGGTAAAGATTTAACCACTATATGACTCATTACATGTTGGTTTTTCGTGATACAATATAACTGTCATGATGATGTGGAGGTGATGGACCTTGCTCTTTGTTATATATGTACCCTTAATTACAATTGAAGTCCTTACCAGGTTGCCAATTCTAATCTTCTTAGGCACGGAAGAAAGAGGAAAGGCTTCTTGAAGCTCTTAAGAAAGTTGAGCCCAAGGAAAAGTCAGAAGCTACCCATGACCCGGAAATACTGACTCCAGAAGAACACTTTTACTTTCTGAAAATGGGAGAGAAGTGCAAGAATTATGTGCCAGTTGGAAGACGTGGGATATACCAAGGTGTGATCCTTAACATGCACCTGCACTGGAAGAAGCACCAAACTCTAAAAGTGGTGGTCAAAACATTCTCTCGGGAGGAGGTTAAGGAAATTGCTGCAGAGCTTGCAAGATTAAGTGGTGGAATTGTTCTTGATATGCAGGATGACAACACCATTATAATGTACAGGGGGAAGAATTACTCCCAACCTCCAACAGAAATAATGTCTCCAAGAAGTACTCTTTCTAGGAAAAAGGTTCTACATAGGCATCTATTATTTTTTTATTATGCAATTTTGCAGTGTTTGCCTCTGCTGGATTTTCTGAACATTAACTGTTTATGTATCGGCCTCTAACCCCTCCTTTCTGTTTTTCTTGTTATTACTCCTTGTCTACAGGCCTTGGATAAATCTAAATATCGAGATGGCCTGAGAGCTGTCAGGAGATACATTCCGCGGCTTGAGCAGGATCTTGAGCTGCTTCGACTGCAGGCTGAAAATAAAAGTGGTACTCCTGAAGAAAAACACTTGCTTGGCTCTGAGAATTCTAACCCTGAACACCGTTCAGTCCTTCAAACTGAGGCATCAAACAAGCTCAAACAGTTGATGAATGAAAATGATGAAAAAGGCGAAGAAGGTGAGTCCACAACATATTCAGATATCATTTCAGATTCGGAAGATCTTTCAGATATTTTTGAAATGGACTCTGACGAAGAGGATGAGGACAAAACTGAGGAAACTCTTTATTTGGATGAGTTTGAAAAATTTCATGTACACAGCAACGGAGAAGAACAGGATTTTGAGGAGCATTTGCGTCAGATATCTTCCAACTCGAGGAAAGAGAAATCTCTGTGTAAAGATGCGGACACACCATATCTTGATGAAGTTGATAGGATGATTCTGCAAGCCACATCACTTTTGAAGAAAAAGAAGAGATGAATGCCTGTATATGCGTAAGCAATCACCTTTACTTGGTATTCTCAGGCTACAAATTAACTATTGAGCAGAGCCTCTAACCAAGGAATCCCTCTTCCCCAATGGGTTTTGTACTGTAACAGGGTTCATTGACCAGTATTAAGTTAACAGTTCTTCTGACGGGTGAGACGAAGCAACTTTAGTAAGGTTCATCTCCGCGGTTTGTTTGCATCCGTCCAAGTTCTTTTTAAAATACTGAAGTAGAAAGATGGTGTACAATCTGATTACATATTGGTCTTAAACAAGAATACAGAGATTGGCTGTGGAGAGGAGCAGGCTGTGAAGTTCTTGTGGTGAATAAGGATTACAAAGATTGGCACTCATTTGACTTGACACAGAAGCCAGGGTGGAGCTGAAAGGCCTTGAATAACAGAGCGCCTGCTGTTTGTATAATCAGTTAATTGGTTGGTGTAATTTCATTGTGGTTAGATTTTTGTCTTGTTTAGGAGGGGATTTGTATGGGAATAAGACTACTACTTATTTTCAAAGGTTGATTACCTCCTCTCCAAGCTTGAGTAGAGATTCACATGTTTCAGCTGGAAATGCTTTTCAATGGTATTGCGAGAAGCAGTACCAAGCCTGTTTCTGTCTTTACTGCCAACACCAAAAATAGTTAGATGTTGTTCAAAGCCTTGTATCTCGTCATTTACAGTATACTGTACATTTTTCAGTCTCAATTGACTGAAAGTGAGGTCACTGTAAAAACAGGGTTCATGACTTTGGTTTCTATTAATGTATATCCAATCATGGTCTGCATTCCATGTCTTTGGTGAAAAATAGAGAAATGACATAATGATTGTCAATGCACCTCGCACGTGTGTTCTCAAAACTTCTATAATAAATAATAATCTTTCTCCTCTTTCCTCTCTCAATATATGCACGTTCAAAAGAAAGCAAAGCAATGGTCTCCAACGAAAACCAAAAAAAAAGATTTTTTCAAGCGATTGTGTGATAACTTTTTCTCTTCTCAATCATTCAAGATATTATGTGAATTAATATATTACTGAATCTAATGTGTTAAACTTAAATTAAAGTAAAAAGAAAAAGTTTTCTAGTTTGATAAGGTAACTCTTCGCTTTAAAATCTNACCCCCACCAACTCACCCCCACCTAAATAGAAATATTATTTATAGTAATTTCTTTTCATGTTATAGATAGAGTATTTTTTATTTATTTCAACAAATGAGTATTTTTTTTTCACGATATTTTTTTTAACAAAAAAAGTACTTTCTTTTCATGATGTAGAAAATATATTTTCTTTCATTTCAACAAAATGATGTAGCAAAAAGTATTCTTTTATTTCAACAAAATAAGTAATTTTTTTTCATGATGTAGAAAAAATATTTTTTTTTATTTTAACAAAATGAATACTTTATTTTTATGTTGTAGAAATAGTATATTCTTTTTCAACCAAAAAAGAGTAATTTTTTTAGTTCTGGAGCACAAGTTCAACGTTGTTTTTTGCGTAAAATAGTAAAGCAACACATTAATTCCTTTGGGTTTGTGTGAATTTTTAAAAGAATAATTAAATTCTTGAAGAAAATAGAGTCATGAAAATATTAGGTATTTGGGGGGAGAGCACAGGAAACATAGGGACTTGGGGAAGGGGAGATGGTGAGGTGAGTAGTATAAAAAATTATTTTTCTAAAAATATTTTCTACTCTCTAACCAAACACTAGAAAATATTTTTCGCAAAAAGGTTTTCCCTCACCAACCAAACAAGGGAAAATAAGTGATAACAACACTCATTTTTCATGAAAACATTTTCTAAGAAAACATTTTCCTCCATACCAAACACACCCTTTATTTCTTTTCGTTTCCCCCTAGTCTTAATCTATTAGGCTTTAGCATGTCCCAAGAACTTGATGAACAGATGAAAACGTCTTTGTCTTTAAGGCTACTTTATTTATTCAATTACAACTGAATTCCTGCAAATGATGATACAATACGGAGTTTCTTGGGCCCTTACATTCAAGTAGCTCAACCCCAGATCAAAATAACTCCTATTTGTCCTAGAGTAACAAGTTAGAATCAGAGAGAGAAAAAAATGTGTACAAACTATTGGTATGCTAATCTGATTCCTCTAGCTGTTCATTCTCAAGTTCTTTCACTCGCTGGACTGCTTCTTCAACACTTCTTGATAAATGATCAGTGTGATCCTCAATGAATTTCAACAATGTTTGTAGTTGTTCTTGGTAAGCTGCACACCTCCGCTTACATCGCTGCCTCTCATTATAAAGTTCAAGGGTCAGCTCTCGAATTCTTTGATCCTTCTCATCCTAAAACAAACAAAATCGTAAGTCATTGAAGAAAAAATTATATATAAGATCACGTGTGGTGAATTCTTCCACAGAAATAAAGAGATCATCTTAGGCAAAAGATTTTTCAACAGCTTTGAGTAGGGGCAATAGCAGAATGATTAAGTTCCAACATAGTGCATTTCCTTATCGGAAATGGTCTCTCTGCCCTTCCAGGGTAGGGGTAAGGCTGCATACATCTTACCCTCCCAAGACCCCATTTGTGGGAATTCACTGGGCATGTTGTTGTTGTTGTTGTTGTTGTTGTATAGTGCATTTCCTTGTTGCAAAAACAAAATAGACCACAGATAAATTGGCCTGCCAATCGAGTCATTCTCCCTCTTTCAAACATATATAACAGAGTATATGTAAGTATGCTTGCTGTAGTACATGAACTCAAATGTCAATTCCGTGGGAAACTGGTCTGCTGTCAGTCAACTTAGTATGTGTATTGACATTCATAAGTAGAACCGTAACTTGTCAAATGCATCATACGTAATTCTGTTGAATGCCTAGTTGCTTATTAACATTTACCTGACTGACCAATTTTCTTGTAGATCCTCGCCACGGAACTTTACTCGGCGACATTAAAGCGTGATTATGCTCTTTTACAAATTTTGTGACAACCCACTTGCTTTCCCTTAAAGCTACTCTCAGGATGGCAGGACAGCCTTCTCGAGTTGCAGGTGGCGGAGGAAGAACTCTATCTTTCCTATGAATATATTTTTTCTCACGAAAACCTTCTTTCGAGCAGACAAAATCCTGTCCAATAACCACATTATTGATCCGAGACCGCCGATTATGATGAATCCGCACGGTAAAGCCTATCCGCCTGCCATATGCCATGTAAAAGTCTCTAGCATCATCTCTGGAGTTGAATTCCATGCCAATCTGTGGCTCAATAGCATTGTCACTTGATGTTTGTTCTCCATTTGAATGCCCTAAGCATTTATCATCTTCAGCGACATACATATCCATGTCTGTCGTGAGCTCTTCGTCAAAATAACCATGATCATCATTGCTCTCAACTGGTGGAAAATCTTTTCTTTCATCCAAACCAAATGCAGGGCTAGATGGGCTCCCCATTGCCACATCAGACTTATAAAAGCCCATAATCCATCATTCCTGCATATTTGGAGCAGAAAAAGGAATCAAGAGGAAAGCACAAAATGGAAATAAGTATAAACAGAAACAATCTCATGGACTCATGGTGCACCATTTTGACCACAGACGTAGAAAACAACAAGGAAAAGAAATTGCAAAATAAAGCATTTTATGCTCTTGGAGAATCAAATAGTACGTGAAATGAGGAAAATATATCTGATATGCATCATCCATCAAGCTGTCATTCCTGTTTTCTGAAACTTGAGGACTAACTAAGAAGGATTCAAGTAACAAGGATTGCCTATCAGACATGACAAAAATCTAATGATGATCATACTCCTTCACATACACTTTCTAGAAGCGTTTCAGGGTATTACTGATAATCAAGTCAAGTACAAGGAGGAAGTAGTGTGCACACATGATAATTGTATTAAAATTGATTAGGAAATAACCACCACGCACAAAAGTTTCTTGAATAGATTCATATGGTTATCCTACGGGGTCCTGCCGTCAGATATCAAAAGCTTGAACTGAACAAAAGCAATATATGCATTGTTCTACTTTTCTGTTTCCCTTCATTAATCAAATTAAACAAGCAAAGAAGTAGGAAAATGCATCAAAATTAGGTCACTGAAAGCTAAAAGCTCAACTCAGAGCACAATTGTTACAAGAAAAACAAACTCAAAAGTTTTCTCCAAACACAAGCTTGCATAATATTCACATTCTTATTCATTAAAGGGGAAAAAGATGCCAGCACAGAACCGTCCATTTTCCCTTTTAAGATGGTCAATACACACAATTACAACAACTCATTAATTCACACCATTCTCACCTCAACCAAGTAAAATACCTCCAAGTCCACCTAGTTGAGTTTCTTGAGCTAAATTTTAACTGTAGCAACAAAGCCTAATACATCCACAAAAGATTCTAAAAAGGAGTCATAAAACTAAAATATTCCTCCTATATCAATCTGGGGATTATTCAAGCTCAAGCTAACAAAATAAGGACTCGACTGAAAAAAAATGATAAGTGGACAAAGTAAACCCTATTTACTTGGATATCCAAAAGATTCCAGCTTCATTATTTACTGACTGATCAGGGGGGGTTGTTGGGTCTCTAAATCTAATTAAGAACACAGGAGCAAGAAAGGAGTTTGTGGGTCTATAATGTTTCAAGAATTGGCGTCCACAGAGTGAAAAAAGAAACTCAATTTAACTTCTGAAGTGCTAACCAACTCTTTCGACTAAAACGATGAATGATAAGAAGAGGAAAGAGAGAGAAATTGCTTTACCTACGACATCATCGAGGTCATGTGCCGCTACAGTGACTTTTTCTTTTGTTTTTTTCGTTTATCTGCTGCTTCCAAATATTCATATGTGACCCCTTAAAGGCGATGTAATACATTCGAATTTATACATTGGTGAGAGAGCAATTTTCTGATTTTTGGTTTAATTATCCATGTAATAGGTTTAGACGGTATTTAGATTTCGAGAGTCAAATTGACCGCAATTATTATTTTTTACGTTATTTTTAAATATCTAAATTTTATTTTGAAAAACTTAAAATTCTATGTTCAAATAAACTATTATAATTAAAAAATTTGAATCTCAGAAAGCAAAATGTGTTACATAAATTGGGACGGAAAGATACTACTTTATTAGAGTTAACTCAATTTTGTCTTTAATTTGAGTTTGTTATTAATCTGTATTAACTATAATATTATGAAACAGTAAATTTTCTATAGCAAAAACAGAAACAGGGAAAAAAAACATAAGTAAAGCAGAAACTGGAAATAATCAGAAATAGAATCTAAAAATATATCTTGGAATGAAATCGAGCCCACTGAAGAAATTATTCCCATCAAATATCCGAGGTGTTGGAATATTATCCTCCCAGGATAGAACGATTTGACTCACCAGATCGGTACCTAAAACGCTGGTGAACTGCGAACCACTCAATGGCTGTAAATCACACTGGATTTTATTTATGCAGAAGAAGAAGAAGTTTGAAGTTCAGAAAATTTCGTAAGGAAAAAATCTTGGATCAAAGCAAATTTATAGCCATTTTCTGCCACTGTTTCTAAAAGTTTGCAACCTTTCAGAAACAACCATGGATGTTTGAACAAGCATGGATATTTAAAATTATCCGAAAAAGAAATGAACCGGGTCACGGGTCGCGCGCGTGGATCCTGGGTTATTTCAGGTTGACTTTTGCTAATTAAATATTGGATTTAATAATTAAATTAATTAATTAAATAATTAAAAGAAAATTTATCCAAAAAGATTAATCAATCAATCTTTGATCGAAGCTGAAGCCGAGCCGAGCAAGCCTTCGAACTTTCTGTAGTGAACTTATATCGGATATACTCGGTTAATCGTTAGATTTGATATCTTTGAACCGCCGAGCTTTGTCATATACCTAGACAACATAAGTCACACAATTAGCCCTTAACCATCTATGATTCTTATGGTTGTGTTCGTTTCAGCCATGAACATCGCCTGATTTCATGAGTGCATAGAGAATGGGCATTTACTTTCATTTCCCTTGAAGCGGCTTACACTTCGCACCCACATAGGTGATTTCTAAACGTGTAGTCCTATAGACACACTATCTGGTCATTTCCTGCCAGACTTAGCAAATCATTAAGAAGCTTTAAGCTTTATTGACTCATCAAAAATCCTTAATGCTTTACTCTGATTTCTGAACATTGTCTTCATCACGAGAATGGGTTGAGTTATTTGACAATGTTGAACCGCCATTCATAACTTTGTTTGATCTCTTTGAACCTAACTCTTGGGATCTCCAGTCTGCTAGGTAGAGTTACCGCCATGATGACTCTTCCTAGGTCTTAACCCCATTCCCTTCGATGATCTTCCAACTAACTCTCTAGATAGGCCTTTTGTAAGTGGGCCCGACACGTTATCTCTTGACTTCAATCGTGATAACACCACTAGAGAGTAGTTGTCTAACGGTATTGTGTCTCCGCCGTATGTGACGAGATTTTTCGTTATACATAACGCTCCCTGCCATACATATTGCTGCTTGACTATCACAATGTATACATATAGGTGCCAAAGGTTTGGGCCAAAATGGAATATCTTCCAAGAAATTCAGGAGCCATTCAGCTTCTTCACCGGCCTTGTCTAAAGCTATGAATTCAGATTCCATCGTAGAACAGGCGACTTACGTATGTTTGGATGATTTCCAAGACATTACTCCACCCCCAGTTGTGAAAATATATCCACTCGTGGATTTAACTTCAGATGATCCGGTAATCCAATTTGCATCACTATGTCCCTCAATCACGGAGGGATATTTGTTCAGAGCATAGTCTTGGGTATGTTTCAGATACCCCAAAACTCGTTTCATTACCATCCAATGTAATTGATTGAGAACTTGTAAACCGACTCAGTTTTATAATAGCACATGCTATATCTGGTCACGTACAATTCATGATATACATCAAACTTCCCAATACTCTTGCATAGTCCAATTGTGAGTCACTTTTACTTTCATTCTTTTAAAGTGCATTACTCACGTCAATTGGAGTCTTGGTAATCTTGAAATCCAAATACTTGAATTTGTTAAGTACCTTTCAATGTAGTGAGACTGTGATAATGCTAGACCTTGTGGAGTCTTGTGAGTTCTGATTCCTAAGATCACATCAACAACTCCTAAGTCTTTCATGTCAAATTTGCTAGCCAGCATGTGCTTAATAGCATTTATATCTGCCATATCTTTGCTCATTATCAACATGCCATCAACATATAAACAAATAATGAATTCATGACCTGGAGTGTTTTAAATGTAAACACATTTGTCGCACTCGTTGATTTTAAAACTATTTGCCAACATTGTTTGATCAAATTTAGCATGCCATTGTTTGGGTGCTTGTTTAAGTCCATAAAGCAACTTAACAAGTTTGCACACTTTCTTTTCTTTACTAGGAACCACAAACCCCCAGGTTGTTTCATGTAAATTTCTTCCTCCAAATTTCCATTTAAGAAAGCTGTTTTAACATCCATTTGATGAATTTCAAGACCATGCACGATCGCCAATGCCACTAACACACTAATAGATGTTATCCTCGTTACTGGCGATTAAGTGTCAAAGTAATTAAGGCCTTCCTTTTGTCTATAATATTTTGACAACAAGTCTTGCCTTATATTTGTCAATAGTGCCATCAACTTTCATTTTCCTCTTAAAGATCCATTTCGAATCTAAAGGCTTATTTCCTGGAGTAAGATCAACCAATTCCCATGTATGATTATCTAAAATCGATTGAATCTCACTATTGACTACGTCTTTCCAAAATGCTGAATCAGAAGATGACATAACTGCTTTGAAAGTTTGAGGCTCATTTTCAAGCAAGAATGTCACAAAATCTGGTCCAAAGGAAGTAGATGTTCTTTGACGTTTGCTACGCCTTAGATCCTATTCACTTGGAGTATTTTCCTTTAGTTCTTCATGTGGTCGTTTAGATCTTTCACTTGACGACTCGCATTCATTTTTATACGGATAAATATTTTTAAAGAATTCAGCATTCTCTTATTCAATTACCGTATTAACATGAATTTCGGGATTATCAGATTTATGAACCAAAAACCGACATACTTTACAGTTTGTAGCATATCCAATAAAAACACAATCCATATTTTTTGGTCCGATTTTTACCCTTTTGAGTAAAGGTACTTGTACCTTGCTAAACACTCCCACACTTTGAAATATTTCAAGTTAGGTTTTTTTTCTTTTTATTTTTCATATGGAATAGATTGTGTTTTGCTGTGGTGTACTCTGTTGAGTATTTAGTTAGCTATAAGGATAGCTTCCCCCACAAACTTTGCGGTTAGCCGGAACTTATTAATAAAGAATTCATCATTTCCTTTAATGTTTGATTTTTTTCTTTTCGCAATTGTCACGCCCCGACCTCGGGAGCGCGACCGACGCTCAACCGAGATACCCCGGCCGAGCAAGCCTACTAGATGCCTTCTACCCAATCTTACCCATTAACAATATAAGAATCAATACAGGTGATAGACATGAGAAAAAATCAAATATTCCTCATTCTTTTTCCATTACTCAAAGGATATTCATTTATGATTCCCAAAATATTACAAGTTTATAGATGTAATGAAAAACATGTTTGCCAAATACCAATATTTATAGTTCAATTTCCAACATCGAATACCACCCACAATCTGTCTACGGAGCCTCTAAGTACAACAGAAAAGAAGAATGGAAGTGCCGGCAACAAGGCCACAATTCTACCTCAAAACATAAAGTACAACGTCAAATGACATGAAACTTGGAATAGAGTAGGGCTCGCCAAAATCTACTGAATAGAGAGTAACTACTAACGAGGATCAAAACCGCCCGCTGACAAACCACATGCATCCATTGAAGATGCAGCGGCCCCGGCAAAATGGGACGTTAGTACATATAGAATAGTACTAGTATGAAAACCAAAACACCTATTCAAGGACTTAGAAATACAATATGAATATGATGAATCATGGTAACAATAAAAGGTTTAGTTAGCCGTTAAAGCCACAATAAATTTATTAAAAGCTTTCAATAACATTTATAAATTCTTAAGTCGGGGATCCTCTACCACTACCTTTACACAAAGCGGCCCTGGCGCCTCACCCCAATGTATGCGGGTGGAGGTGAAATCATGACACCCTCAACGCTACACAAAGCGGCCCTGCCGCCTCACCCCAATGTATGTGGGTGGAGGTATTTCACAATACCACAATTCCTACACGAAGCGGCCCTACCATCTCACCCCAATATATACGGGTGGAGGTGTATCACAATCTCTACACAAAGCGGCCCTGCCGCCTTACCCCAATATATGCGGGTGGAGGTCTATCACAATACCACAATCTCTATACAAAGCAGACCTGCCTCCTTACGCCAATATATGCGGGTGAAGGTGTATCACAATACTACAATCTCTAAACAAAACGGCCCCGCCGCCTCACCCCAATGTATGTGGGTGGAGGTATAATCACAATACCACAACTCTAAATTCTCAAAACGATAATAGTTTGTAAAAGGGGTTCTCTTCCAATCAACTGTTTGGCACGTTTGGCCTTAGAAAGAGTAGGTTCATAAGGTTTCATCATATGAGAAATAAGTGTTTGATTACATTGATTTCATACAAGGTTTTCTTCCCAAGAAGGGGGTATAACATAATTAAGTCACAATAGAAAATCTTTAATACATCACTCATTCTTGAAATACTTTTTCCCAAAAAGGGCAATA